GACTTTCGAAAATTCTCACTGACAACCGATCAGACAATAGTTTTAAGTTGACCAAATGCATAAAAGTACATAAAATGATGCTCACTAGAAAGTAGATACATTTGTCTTTTAAGATACAACTGGCATATAAGGATCGTAATGATGCTATGTGGATAAACTGATCGGGTTTCAAGAGCTAAGTTGACAGCGCGTCATCACTACAATGGCTTTCATTTTTACGATTATAAAAATTAGGTGGCGTAATGGGGAGATAATTTTGACGAAGTAGAATCATGACTGTGACACTCGAATCAAAAAAGTTGATACGAAGTTAGCATTAAACGCCAAAAATTACGAAAGTTTTTGCCAACTACAGCTAAGGTCATCTATTCCTGAAGTCGAAAATCCTTAGTATTTCAAACAATTCAAAGTTTGGTATATAGTTAAAATATGACTAAGACAATATCAATGTTGATTCATGTAAACAGAGAGTGCAGACTACTGGGTTGATGATACACACGGAGAGGAAACCTCAACCAGCAGTGACATTGAATCTACATGTTCTAATATATTATAGCTCCTTCTAATAAAACAAAGCGAAAATACACAAAACTACATGACTATATAAATACAGCGAAGATCCCAAGGGGAATCGAAACTCAAACTAAGACTAACAGCAATAACAGAGAAAACTAAAAGTTACATGAACCAAACCAAACACCTTGGATCAATTCATTTGCTTCGGAAAGATATGCATTTCGTGTTCCACTGCTGACATCCGTTGTATTACTGATTGTAGGTAAAAATAAGGGGAAGTCAAATTCGTTAATGGCACAATCGAGGAAAAAAGGGAGGGAATTTTGATTACGTCATAATGGCCAATCAAATCATGACGAGTCAATAAAACATTCGAATGGGTGAATTCAACTTTACCACGAACTCTTGATGCAATAACTTCCTTGTAACTATCAAGGAAATGATAATATGAAACGAAAGCCCTGGAATATCATATCACTTGGTATATATATATATATACACAAGCGCTGCTGGAATGTTGCTATACAGAAATGGAAAGTTAAACAAAAAATCAAAATTATCTCTGGTGTCGTAAAATTTAGTTCCCAACCGACCCTCTTTGTCAAATTCTATATGTTGGTCAAGATATGAGGCAGACATAACTCTATCAGTGGTATGCATTATTCCATATGCAGTCAACAAAGTCACCAAACATAAGTGTACAGTTATGGAAGTCTTCTACAAATGTTCTACAATAGCTCCTGATGAGAACAATTATCTGTTTTAAGTCAATATCAAATGTCAGGGTCACCTTATTTGAGCCATTAGACATAGAAAAAATGCTTGATCTTATTGTTTTCTGCACTTTTTTTTTAGTTTTATAGAAAAACAAAGAATATGGGGTATCCATCCATGACACATAATCAGAACATGCACAGCAAAAAACACACAATAAGCAAAGGAACAGCGCTTTTTTGCTGTTCTTCATCTCAAAGTCACAGTGAGGCCTTCAACACGGAGCAAAAAAAAAAAAACTCTCACCTCACTGCAAGTTTAAGACGGCCCCTAGCACCGGCTTGAGCGGATTTCTTTGCAAAAATAAATTTTGATAGACTTTGTAAGATGTAACACCAATTAATCGGGCCCGGTAAAAAAAGAACATACTGAATTAAAATTGATTATATATTTGTGTTACATATCATTCAAAATTACAAATTGAGTTTGAGTTTCGTTCTGGTAAAGTGATTTGACGCTTGTTGTAAATACATAAAAAGGAGTAAATCCCTAGCTACATCCGTAACAACTCAATGCCTTTCCCAAATAAATGTTCATTTCAAATGCCACAAACAATAGGGGACATTGTATTGCGTCTGCAATGTCTTCAAGATGTTTGATATTATATAATCAGGCTTCAATTATTTATACAGTAAACACTGAATCGAATTTGTTTCGTTTTTGGAGAATAAAATTGGCGTATTTAAGCTTCCTGTGCTCCGGGCAAATTGAATCAATTGTTAAAGAGGACTCAGTTTGCAGCCTGAACTACAGACAAGTATGTATGTTACAAAATACCACAAAACAAAGTATAAAGAAAAAAAACACAAACTGAGAAAATAAATCCTTGTAAATATTTGTCATACTTATCTAATCTAGCACATATATTCAAAGTAATCCTGTTCAATACAGTTTGCTGTGCTTATGCTTATTAACGCGTGTTTTCTTTCACAAAATAATTGTCTTACTTTGTCATAAATGAAAGTATTGCACGTATTTCAGTGAAAATATTAAATAACCAAAGAAACAAACTAAAAAATCAATTGGAAAGTGACAAGAATAAAAGGAGATGTATTACAATTTAGGTGAAGGAACACTCTTGTTCAATTAATGGTCATTATGGGCAAAAGAGAGTTAACTCAATTTTTAAAATTGGCATTCGTGCACAAAAAAGAAAAGTATTATTACAAGAAAATTTACCGTACATTTAGTTGAAAGAAGGGAGGTAAAAAAATATTAACTTGGCTCAAATCTTAAAAAGTTGTAAAAGAAAACTGTTTGGATGATCTAGAAACTAAATATCAGCAAACAAAAATCCGCAAAGACAAGGCATTTTATGACCGTGTTTTTTTTAAATGCACATCAATCCGCTAATTCAAAACTTGAAGCAATAAAAAAATGCTTTTGTTTTCTTGTAGCTTGATAAGGCTCTGCACAAGACTGTGTCATCCTTAATTGTAGTACGGGATATATCTGACGTGTTACCTTTTTCGGAACTTGGTGGGAAGTGAGATGTCAAAAGAAAATTGCCGCCAAAGACGTGGAGCTAAAATTTTATGATGTCTCGATAGAAATTTTTCCCTGAAGAGTTATTTAGTGCTTTCGCAGCACAAACAAAAGCTTAATTCCCCTCGCATGTCTACCTTTGTAACACAAACAAAAGCTTAATTCCACTCGCATGTCTACCTTTGTAACACAAACAAAAGCTTAATTCCCCTCGCATGTCTACCTTTGTAACACAAACAAAAGCTTGATTCCCCTCAAATGTCTACCTTTGTAACACAAACAAAAGCTTAACTCCCCTCGCATGTCTACCTTTGTAACACAAACAAAAGCTTGATTCCCCTCAAATGTCTACCTTTGTAACACAAACAAAAGCTTAATTCCCCTCGCATGTCTACCTTTGTAACACAAACAAAAGCTTGATTCCCCTCAAATGTCTACCTTTCTAGCACAAAAAAAAATCTGTATTCCCCTAAAATGTCTACCTTTCTAGCACAAAAAAAGCTTTATTACCCTAAAATTTCTACCTTTCTAGCACAAACAAAAGCTTTATTACCCTAATATTTCTACCTTTCTAGCACAAACAAAAGCTTTATTACCCTAAAATTTCTACCTTTGTAGCACAAACAAAAGCTTTATTCCCCTAAAATGTCTACCTTTGTAGCACAACAACCTTTATTCCCCTCAAATCTCGGTCATGTTCTTTCGCTTTCGCTAAATTAAAACAAGCTACATTTGCATACAACAGAGGACTTGTTAATATGTGCTGGTCACCGGTGACATGTGCATACATTTAGTTCCACTATGAATAAAATGACCCAGTAATGTGACAATTTTTTCAAAGTTAAAATATGTAACAGAAAAGGGAAGGGTTTGGGTAATAAATCTATCGTTTATGTCGGAGGATTGTCAGTGAATAACACTTAGATATTCGCGGAGAAAACGAATAGCCGAGAGATAGTTGGATATATTATCGGCTTGACGTCAGTGTATCTATTATGTTTTCGAGACAGTCGTCTAGATCGGCAAATGCCATGTTCTTTATAAGAATATGGAATGCGGACAGATGTCTCACGGCCGGAAGAAGTCCAAAAGGAGGCCGCCAGATGTTAGAGAATCTTGAACTACCTATGCTATGGGGTACATCAACCGATATAAGACTATAATACAGCATTATTTCTAATCAGCAGTTTAAGTACTTTTGGCATTCTTTAATATGGTATATTAACGTTGATTTTGTGTTTTTGTTATCTCTTATACTTTTATTTTACACTTCTTTTGCTGAATCATTTTGTTTCATATACACAGGGAAGTTTTGACCATGACTATCACTGTACAGTTTTCCTTGTTTTATTTCCGTGGCGCAGATGACCACGGATATGCTCCAATTGTCGTTACAACAATCCCGCCCTCTTTTCCTCGACAGTGACATCACCGAATTCGTACTTATCACGAACTACATGACAAGTGCCACGATACATTTTTTAGGCATGATAAATAATCGAGACACTTGTTATTATCGAAGTCGAAGGTGTTTTAGTGGTAAAGAGAGAAACAAAACATGTGATGGATGCACCGACGAACGTTCAAGTTTATTATAGGTTTCCACTGAAAATCAGCGGAACCCTGGTTAAAACCGATTAGTCTGAAACCAGGATAAATCCCTTAGAGTCCATATAGTTACTTTGGATTCTTTATAAAACCTTAAATATTTCATTTTTTTTTTATATTAAGACTCTTCCGATCGAGTTAAATCAAAATAAACGTTTCAGTAAAAATTATTTACTAGTTGGTCTTGATTTAAAACCTTTAAATGATTGATAAATTTTTAAATTCCTCGAAAAACAAAGGTTCAAACTTCCTGAACCAAACTCTATCGAGAAAGGTTGTTGGCGATTCCTTTAAACGTCCCTTATGCTGTTTAGTTCCGCTTTTTTTTTTGGGGGGGGGGGGGGGGGGGGGGTTCTGAGTTTTTCTGATGAAAATAACTGCTGCATTTGATTTAGGCAGTCGATTCCGTGAAGTCTCTATTCAGAAAAATGTCCATCAGTCACGAGTTTCCGCTTTAAAAACATTAAGGAAATGTGAGTTATACGTAAATGAGACGGGATCCCAACAACACTTAAAACCCAAAGAAAAAAAGAGTGAATAAATCCAACAAACTATCAAGGATCTACCATAAACACTAAACTCACTGTCTAGCAAAAACATGACTAAAGACAACTATCAACGAGTTTCCTGTCTTAGACAGGCAAAACAATCTAATTAAAATTCCGATATTTCTTTACTTGCATAATGTTATAAGCATAGCAATATCACAGATGTCATTTTAATTCAACTGCCGGCACATGCACATATGATGGTTAAAATATGTTTTGCAGTATCAACCATCCCACTTAAAGTAACGCCCATTTATCTGAACAATATGTTAACAAAAACACAACCTTGATATTTTCTTCCCAATCGCTCATACGATCAACTTTGGTAAAAAACAATCATGCGATATTACCTCCATCATTTTGTTAAAAGATTTTTATCACATTCCATCATTGATAACACTCATGGTACATACAGTTCAGTATATAACATAATCCTGCTTCGGTCTCCTCTGTTTAGCATTTCACTTCAATCTGATCTATGTCAATTTCAATTTGAACTTCACATGAATTCTCATTGTCATCATCATTGCTGCCTTCATCACGATCGTCACAGTAGCTATGGTAGGACCCAGAGTCCAGAATTTCTACCAATGGATTTTTCTCTGGTTTCACGGATTTAGTTAAAATAGTTTCGGAGACAATATCTTGACTACCTTTATCACTAAGTCTAAATGAAGAAATACTGTTTGAGAAACTAAAAGGTGAGGAAGATGACTGTTTATGTTTCTTTGGTAATGATAAGTGTAGTTGTTTCCAAAACTGGTCTAAGGCTTTGGAAGTATTTTCACCTGGCCATTTAATGTAAGTAACAGATTCTATGATTATTTTTAGATTTTCGTCCATCTCATGCTCCACATGATTTATGTCTTCCAGAAGTACTGGGATGATCTTATGTTTCCTTTTTAACATCTCTGTCTGGGCTACTTGGTACTCGAACCGTGTAAAGTCGCTCTGTATATATTGTTGACTGATAACGATGATTGTACGTCTGCTGTTGTTTATGGCCCATATTATATTGTTTGCTATTGCTGTAAAGAAAAGAATTTCATATAAGAAATATCACGGGTGTCATTCAGTTTATGGAGAGAAATGATCGTGAGGTGGTCAAGTATTGCGATTGGATCGTGAGAGCTCTTGTATAGGATCGTGAATTCAATCTTATCGAGAAGACATATACAAGGTCAATTATTAATCTAATTTAATTAATTACACGGACAAATTTACAACAAAATAAAACTGTCTGTCAAAATGGTTCAGCATTATGATCAGTATGTGAGAAAATCTAGGTTTAAAAGTACATCGTGTTTACAAAACTACAAAAGGCTGATTGTTCCTCGACATTTCAATGAGTTTAAAAATGTAAACAAACATGGTTTTTTTCATAATTCGAATGACTAAACTACTTTTCTACAAAAAAGGTCATTTCATTTGAATGAATCAAATGGTTCTCAAAGTTAGTTTGTGAAAGCATAATCAGAAAATTTGTAAAAAAAGAAATATTTTACACAAAATTGATATTTCGGATCGTGAAAGATCACGTACCGCTTTTTGAAGATCGTGAAAAGGATCGTAAAAGATCTGATGCTACGATGACGTTCAAATCATTCTTCAATTATATGATAATTTATATTTGTTATTGGTATAGAAAAAACTAGATTTGCATGACTAACCCGGGTCTCTTTTGTTGGTGAATAGGGCTATAATCGTGCAATGCCATTTGATCCAATTATCTTATAATACCACACAGACTAGGTGAATTATAGCAATATCAGTCTATTTGTCCAACCTTCATAAGTTTTATTGTCTTATACAAATCTAATAATTTTCATTTCTCATTTTCATGCCCATTATATTTATAAAGCGAAGATCCTCAATACATTTAAGCATTTCAAAGTATTAATATATTCAGACCTCGACTGTGCCTTATTTCATAGATCAAGGTTTAGTTTTGTGGCCAAGTCTGTATCGCGGATTCGTTTATCTATAGGGTAACTGTATTTGATGTAAGTTATGATTGTAAGGTGTACATTTTCGCCTAGAAAGGTTTCAACTAACCTTGACCTCATTATCATGCATCACTGGGCAATGTTTATTTTGTAGGCTTTGGTCTTTTGCTTATTTACCTGTATGCTATAGGGCCACTGTATTTGGTGTATGGTGTACATGTTCCGAATTCATTGGCCAAACATAAATTTTAGATTTTCAGTTTTTAAGGTACTGTAAGCATCAGAACCACTATATTTGGTGTACGGGATGTTTGTACCGGTCTGTATGGCATGGTTCATCTTACCTTGGCCTCTTTTTTATGGATCATTGATAATCTTAAGCGTATGTGACACTTCTAGTAAAACCCTTACTATTACAGACGTTCAACATATATACTATCACATGTAAAGCAGACGAGACATTTCAGCATTTGCGCTCTGGTATTCTTTACTCTGTAATATATTGTTATCTCATTGGCAATCATTTCACATCTGCTACGTTGTATATAAAGAGACATATATAGAACTTAAGAAAGTACTGTAACACAAAAGGTTGAATGGTTATCGTTCAATCTCATATTGTTAGTGAAAGATGCTGTTTTCGCTATTAGATATGGTAGATGGTTAACTTTTTGTGTTTAAACGTTGCATACCCATATTATTGCCTAAATAGTGGCGGTAAGTAGACAGGTCTGCCTGAATTGTACTAGACCGATTCTCAGAGCTGAATTTTTCACACGCGAACTGACAAAGGTATGATATCGCTAGACATGCCAGTGCAGATTCAGTAAAAGTTGTCACGATTGAGACTAGAACTTAATCGGTTAAACTATAGTTCAAGCTGGGCATCCCAGTCAAAGTATGTTGAATGAAAATTTACCCACGCTCGTGGAGGTCCTTCTATTTTGGAAATCAACTTATCTAGACACGTTTTTAGTTATTTTTTTAACTTTCGAGGTAAAGTGTTGAATTTAAAAAAATAAAAAAATGAAAGCTTTAATGTTGGTTCTTATCAAAAAAGTTACACGCTTCCATCAGCTGCAAGTATATCAATTGGTAAAAAACATATTGTTTTCTGATTATTAAGTCTGGTCACGCCTTACCTTTCACGATCAAAATAATGCGTTGCCTAATCTTTCACGATCAAGTTTGATGAAAAATCAACAAAATTCAATGTTTTCATAAACAAGTGAACGGTTTCAAGGGAAGAGCATACTTTTATTTTATTGTTCTATCGGACAAACCAAAGATTAATTTTCAAATATATCATGGTATATTGGAATGTGACCATTATGGGTACAAAAAGCGTGTTTTTTTTAAAGGATCCCATAGACATGTATTGCGCCTTTTGGGTTTCCTCATAAAGTACTGCATATTTTCTTTATCTTATTACACTGTATTGATGAGAAAGTTGAATCATTTTGACAGACATATTTGTTTTTTCGGATTTGTTCCGCGTTTTGAAAATTCAGCGATTTTTTCTCAGATTTTCAAGTAGAATTTACATTAATTACATTCACGATCCGATATCAGATCTTTCACGATCCAATCGCAATGCTTGACAACCGTTAGGTATTCTTTCACGATCATTTCTCTCGATAAACCAAATGACACCTGTGAATATAGCAATGCAAATATTCATTGACGGAGATGTGGATTACGCGTCAATGAGATAGCTAAACAACGACAAAAATATAAAATATACATAAAAAATTGTCTGTTAACATTTGGTTAGGACTACGAAATGTGAATTTAATGTAGTTATTACCGGACGACTTCCTAAATAAATAATTACTTTTAATTTCTTCTAAATTTTAATCCTTCAAGTCTATATTAAATTGTTTATGATTTATGTTTTATTTTACATAATTTTTGTAGACAAGTGGCAAGTACAAACAACCGTCTCTTACAACACAGACGATCCTAAAAAAGAGATGTGGTTACTCGTTTTTCAAATACAAACTATCTTGTTGCATAGTAAAGTATACTACTTGCCTTTAATCATCACAGGTCATTTAATTGTAACCAAAGAAATAAAATACTCACCATCACCAGGTAAATAGTTCATTTACTCTTATAGGACATTTCTCACCATCACCAGGTATATAATTCATATACTCTTACGTGACAGTTCTCACCATCACCAGGTATATAATTCATTCACTCTTATGGGAAATTTCTCACCACCCCTAGGTATATAGTTCATTTACTCTTACAGAACATTTCTCATAATCACTATAGGTACAATGTATATAGTTCCTGACGTCTTAAAGGCCCATTCCTACCGTCACTCACCAGGAGTGCAAAGCAGTATAAATTCAATACTCACTATCCCCAGGTATAAAGTCTCTGTAATGTAAACAAAGTTTAAACCCCATCTCTTTTTCCAACTTAGGGTAAAGTCGTTTATAGACAAACTCTTCATCTGCTTCTGACGACCTGTATGACACGAAGGCATCAAAGTCTTTATCGTCTGAAAGAATACACACTAACAAGTATCAGGCTGACATATATGTGTATCTGTGGTGGCATTTATCTAAATAATATTCTTATTGTATCATACTTGCCATCTCTTCTTTAAAAAATACAAAAATACCAAACTCCAAGGTAAATTCAAAAAGGGGGAAAGTCCATAAAACCTGGCTAAATCAAACGTTAGACTTTACCAACTAACGGAAGGAATAGAAAACAACTGTCAAATTCCTGACTTGAAAGGATTATTTCAACTTTGCTCCAGATTAAAATAATGAGGTTCTTATTATCAAAAAATAAAAAGATGTGGTATGATTGTCAACAAGCGCACTGTCCAACAGAGTACAAATAATTTCAGCGATAATAGTTCACCGTACGGCCTTCAACAATGAGCAAAACCCATACCGTATAGTAAGCTATAAAAGTCCCCGACATGACAAAATGTGATACACTTCAAACGCCAAAAAATAAAGGCTTAATGTGGCGGGGTTATATATGTGTGTGGGCATTCAAACCTGTCCCTAAGCTGGGACAATGGTGTAACAGCACAACATAAGATCAAACTGAAAAAAAAACCCGTGAGAGAAAAGCATGACCTTGTTCAGTGTAAAAATAAAAAATCACATAATATCGACAGAATGTAGGACCATAAGTTTTCATAATTTTTGTAACTCATATTTAAATATCTTTTAATTTATCAAAAAACAAAATCATTGTTAGAACCGAGTATGGTGATTTTATTCTAAACTTAGTAGTAACAATACAATAAACTATTTATGAAGGTAATCAGGAAAATTATGTAGCTAAGCGAGTTTGGTTTTGTGTTATTTGTAGTTATATTTGGTTGGAGAACATTGACGGGTAATAAATTTAACATAGGTGTATCAAATTAACGGATAATTAAAATTTTCAATTACTTCATTTTCATATGACACAATTGTTGGATAATATTTATCATTCAGTTTAACATTTATATTAGTTAAGGAAAACAATAGTTGACAAAATATGTTTAATTTAAATAATAATTTATACTCTTGGTGCGCAGTATTTCTCACAGGTATATCAATTAGTTTTGCATTTCTTTTCCTGGTGACTTGATGCTCTTTAAGTGAAGGATACTAAGCTTCAAGCACTGTTGACGACAATTTAATTTTCGATATTGCATGTAATGCATCAATTCAGCAACGGTATCTTGTAATTTTGCGTGATACAGGCTGAAATTTACATTGAATATGCAAAATATAAATATATAAACGTTTAAAGTTAAAATTCAGCTTTTCAGAACTCACCTACTGTCTACCTTTATGTCAAAATATTTATTGATTTTAATACAGGTCAACAGATGACAATCTATATATGTCATCCTTTACAATATCGCCTGTAGAATTTAAATTTGTAAAATTATATCTGTGTAAGAATATAAAACTGAGGAGACGTGTTGTGATTGCTAATGAGACAACTATCCATTGAGAAAAGCCACTTTGAATTTCAAAACAGTTTAAAACGTTGATTTTATTCATATACTTTATCGGCAATTTTACTGTAAATTATAGATATCCTTTATCAATTAGTTCGTTTTAAAGAGGATAATTTGCTATAACTGTGATGTTTGAGACAATCGAACGTGGATCTGCAAACAATTCAAAGTTTCCAATAAATATTTAAGAGATTCGACCCGATTGGAATACGCCTCGACTTAAAATTTATTTCAATGTAAAGTGCTTATATGTTTAGCATAGGTAGACGGTTTGGGTTAATTTTTTGTGGACCTTTTGTATTGTTTGCTCTCAAACATTTTATTATTCATAGTTTTGGCTTTTAAAGTTTTGGTTACGATAATTGTACCTGGTTCAGGTTCTTCCAGAAACATGTGTAGTGCGCATTGCATTCGCATCATAACATGTGTAGTGCGCATGGCATTCACATCGTAACATGTGTAGTGCGCATGGGATTTACATCATAACACGTGTAGTAAGCATGGCATTCACATCATAACACGTGTAGTGCGCATGGCATTCACATCATAACACGTGTAGTGCGCATGCCATTCACATCATAATTTCTTGTAATTTAACTGATTGGGGAATCGTAAGATACAAAAAATAAACTCTTCAAACTGTACAACAATAAAAAATACTTACCGCCGTCTTCAAAAGGTTGAAACCTGTGAACAATTTTCATAATCATGAGAACTCTATGTCGCCACATACAATAAAGTATCGCAGCAACTAAGGCAAAGAGACAAAATACCACAATAACACATCCAACAATAACCCACCATGTCCATGAAGTATCATCTGGTAGTCCTTAAATATAAAACAGTTCGAAATCTCAAAAGAATAACCAAAATCATATTTTTAAAATGAACAAACATTTTTTCTACTATTTATAAAAAAATCACAAATGTTCAACTTTTCAAACAACACTGAAGGGGAATTTGTATTGGCGAAAACTATGAAATCCATATGAATTCAATAAATAGTAAGAATATCTGTATCTGTAACCTTCAACAACATTTTGTATGGTATCAACTGACTTATGACTATTATTGGCAATGTTCTGATAGTTTTTATGAATCAAGTGAAACACTCTGTTTTATACTTATTATAACTAAATGCCAGTTGCATTTATCTAGCTCAAAATTCACATTTGAATGTACTGATCGGGCAAACTGGCATAATGCTTTGATGAAGCCTACCAGTATTGCCTGTCGTTACTAAATCTCGTAAAATCACGTATGTAGGTTTTATACTACATTTTTATTGCTTTTGTCAAAACAAAAAAAAAACCAGAATCAGGATAACCATTTTTTTTTTTGTTTTTTTTTTTTTTGTTTTTTGTTAGTAAGTTAATTGCAGTTAATTGTTGCTCAGTTTTTACTTTTTATGTTTTGTTTTGTGTACTGTTGTTTGTCTTGTTGTCTTTTTCGTTTTTTTGCCAAGGCGTTGTCAGTTTATTTTCGACATGTGAGTTTGAATGTCCCTTTGGTATCTTTCGCCTCTATTTTGCAACAATTCATAAAATATTATGTATAATGTATCAATAAAAGATCGGGCTTTAAATTTTAAACGTCAATTAAAATGCATGTATTATAAAGATAAAAAAACGCATGTATCATAGTTACATCTACGCGATTTTATGTTTATTTTCAAGTTGCTACTCAGCTAAACATTATTCAGCAGTGCATTAACACCTTTACAATAAGTAATTACACATAAAACTGCAGGACGATTTTAAATGGGCTATGGTTTACTTAAAAAATATAATTGAACAATAGAGATCCGGGTACATGTTTGTCCAGTTTTATTAATTATATGGATGAGTGGTCATTGTTATATCCTGGTACGTGTTTGTCCTGTTTATTCTATATATGGATGACTGGGTATCTTGTATCTGGATACTTGTTTGTACCGTTTTATAATCACACATCTTAATCACTTTTCCTTTTATCATGTTTTATTATGATCTAGTTCATTAAAGAGCGTCATTTTCGATTGTATAAATACAGTTTGTGTGTGTATAATTCCAAAGAATAGATATGGGATTGACAATTCCATTATGACGTTATTACATTTAATGTCTTTCTTCTGTTAAATATTTTACTTTTTTCGAATTTTTAAGGTGAACTGGATATTTAAATGAAAAGGTATTAGACCCATTAGTGGCCTTCGGCTGTTGTCTGCTCTATGGTCGGGTTGTTGTCTCTTTGACACATTCCCCATTTCCATTCTCAATTTTATTGTTATTTGCTCATTGTTTTGTATACAGTTTGTTCTTGTGTTGTGTTGTTGCACCTATGTCCCGGGTTAGGGGAGTGTTGGGCGCTCGCCAAACATGTTTAACCTTGTAACATTCTGTATGTGCCTGTCCCAAGTCAGGAGCCTGTAAATCAATGGTTGTCGTTTGTTGCTGTATATCATATTTGTTTTTCGTTCATTATTTTGTACATAAATCAGGCCGTTATTTTTCTCGTTTGAATAGTTTTATATTTGTCATTTCGGGGCCTATTATAGCTGACTATGCGGTATGGGCTTTGCTCATTGACGAAGGCCGTTCGGTGACTTATAGTTGTTAATTTGTGTGTCATTTGGTCTCTTGCGGAGAGTTGTCTCATTGGCAATCATACCACATCTTCTTATTTTTATATTTAGTACATTTAAGATGAGAGATGAGGACACGAGACTTATTATGAAAGTCATTTAGTAAGACTCTCTTCCATATATTCACAATTTACTGTATCTGTGATATTCATAAGCTTATAGCAGGGGTATGTGTCTTTGTAATTAATTAAAACTAATGTATCAAATAGAAAAACGAGACAAAGACAGACAATAGTCCATAAAACAATGTACAGACATCTGAAGATTGAGAGTTCATGAATTCCAAGATGTTCACACAAAAAAATCCCCACTACATTCTTTATGTGCCTGTCTCAAGTCAGATCCTGTAATCAAGTGGGTGCTCGCTGTCACATTTATTTTTTTCGTTTATAGTTTTAGCATAAATCATTTCGTTATTTTTTTTCATTTGAATTGTTTGACATATTGTCATTTTGAGACCTTCTATAGTATGGTAAAGTACGCTATCAATGACATTAAGAATTAATTAGAGTTTTGCTCTCTGATTTACTTCAAAACAATACCTTAATTTGCTTATTGGAATAATTTTTATATAAATTTTAGTTATTTTTATTTCTAAATTGACTAAACATGTCTGTCCATTTCATATTGTTATATTGTAAGATATACCTGCTTTCATTCCGTTATGTTACATGACTGAACTGAAAATGTTTGGTTTCCCTTACTATTGTGAGTGTATATTGATGGTATTGTGCTAGTTTTAAGTCCAACTTGTATTCCGTAAAAAACGGTTCCTTCTATAAATGGTAAACCTTAAGTTTTGTTTGCTTGTTGGGGTTTTTTTTTGAGAGAGAGAGGGGGTGGGTATTATTTGGGGGATGGGGTGTTGTTGCTTCAAGATTTCGTGCAATACTGCATCGTTTTTCGTGATATAACTCTTAGAATTTAACATAAGGCTAGGTAAGCATTACAATCGCTGTGTTCTTTATCCCTCCCAAAGCATGATATAAATCAACTTACTGGTTGGTCTCATTCTTTCACAATGTTTTCCGGTGTAGTCATGCTGACAATCACAGTACTCATGACCAGTCTCATTTAGACGACAAGAACCATAGGGTGGACTGCAGTCCCGACAACAAATCTTATCACATTGTCCTCCATAACTACCAGGATCACACGTACAATTCATTTCTATTTGTGTAGGTAAGTATATTGCATTACACACACCAAAATGACACCTAAACCCATTTGGCATACATTCCCTTTCATGGACAGGTCTTGTTAGATAAAGATGAGAACATACATTTCTAGCTTGGATATCGACAGGTTTATTAACTGTTGTACCTTCAACAGCAACAGTATTGGTTGTTATATCGTTTATAGTTTTGTTTATAATTTCACACGATAATTGTCCGTCATGGTATACACATGCTTTTGGTGGGAAACAAAAACGCGGGCAATGCTTTTCGCATCGATTACCAGCCCAGTTACTATCACAAATACAACGTGCTTCCTCACAGACACCATGTTCACATCCAGAGTTGTTAACACAGTAGACATTAGATGGTGAAACTGTTGTTCCATTGTCCATGTAAGACGGCCGGTAGCTTGTTGAATCAAAGGTTACGTTTCCAATTGACGTACCATCAGGTGTGTAATTATTTGACTCATCTTCACAACGGTAAACTCCATTTTGAAAAACACAACTTTCACCGTCCACACATTTGCATTCTGAAGTCTCACAAAAAGGTTGTTTCCACCCAGAGTCACATACACAGTAAAATCGTGGTTTGTCGCAATACCCATGAACACAAACAAACCCTGGTGCACATGTTTTTTCGTCTGGAGATCTCATCTCGCTTTCTACTTTAATGAAATAGTATGACATAGAGAGTACAAACAAGACTACAAATTCATTGCAAGTCATGATAACAATCGTTGAAATTTTAAATGCCCAAAACTTTCAAACTAGAGTCACATTTTACATTCAGTCTACATATGTGTATATATGTAGACCTAAATACTTCTACATCATTACACATCATTTGTTTTTATAACAGAGAGTTTTGTCTCCATACTATGCGTTGTTTAACAACCTCAAGGTGAAATGTACTCATGCTTAAAAGTTTTATATGAAATGAAGCAGAAATTTTACAGTTCGATACAGATTTGTATGTAGCAATTTTTACTGCTGATATTGAAAAGAATTCCCGTAAACTCAAATAATTTTATGACGAATAAAATAACATTACGAAAAGTTAATCGGGGCTTATTTAGACTTTTTATCGTATATTACACGTGGAAATGTTTTATTTATTGCATCCGATCAAAGAGTTAAGTATGCATCTATACTGTGAAGCACGTGTTACAGATGGAAATCAGTCAGACTATTAATGTATTTTGTAAAGTTAAACAGCTTTACATGATACGAATGGAAGAATTAAAGACTGATGTACTTTAATTCACGATAGATCGTTGTAAATAAAACTTGAAGAAAACGTGAAAGAGGTGAATGTTGCTCTGATGGGATTTACTTCCGGGATAATGATGACTTTCTAATATAAAACAGTCATATAAGTTCGTGTTATGTATGATTCCTACCCTTTATTGCCATAATCCAGGTTAACTAATTGATGTTCATACATTTCTATTGTGCTTATGGACCGACAGCCAGGTGTAGTGTATTTTAAATGACTTCGATGCCATTAGGCTGTCGTGACATTGATACTTATGTGTAATTAAAATGCAATAAATATTGATTTCATGGTTTAATAGACAATAAAATAAACTAACATCAATATTTAGTATTTATATATTTGCTCAAAGAGATGATTAAACTTTCGGTTATGAATAAAAGGTATGTAAATGAAACTGCAAACCAACAAGACTAGTGAAGCAAAAACAAACATCTGTAAATGTTGCTGTGAATCATCAGCTGTTGTTTAGATTTATAACGATATAAATACTTACAGACTCAAACAATTAATCACGTTACTCCTTTGGTTATGAATACAGCGTTCGAATTGTTATGAATACAGCGTTCGAATTGTTATGAATACAGCGTTCAAATTGTTATGGATACAGCGTTCGAAAAGCTTCATATGCAAACAAGCAAACGGCATTGTTGTCAATGAGACCATAAACGAGAAAGTGAATATTCATGTGTTATAATTTTTTTTTAGCATAGACCAAAACCGTAAGGTAAGATTATCCAGTAAAATAAAACATGAAAATCAGAGACTAACAGTGTTATTTAATATAAAGAAAACATAGTAAACAAACATAGTGGAGAAAACAAAACCGAATAAACTACAGGCTTATTAAGTTTTTGTCGAACTACAGGCTTATTTAGTTGAACTACAGGCTTCTTTAGTTATAGTCGAACTACAGGCTTATTTAGGTATTGTCAACTACAGGCTTATTTGGTTAATGTCTAACTACAAGCTTATTTAGTTATTATCGAATACAGGCTTATTTAGTTTTTGTCGAACTACAGGCTTATTTAGGTTTTATCGAACTACATGCTTGTTTGGTTATTGTCGAACTACAGGCTTATTAAGTTAATGCCGATCTACAGGCTTAATCAGTTGAAATAGAACTACAGGCTTATTTAGGTATTGTCGAACTATAGGCTTATTTAGTTATAGTCGATCTACAGGCTTATTTAGTTATAGTCAACTACAGGCTTATTTAGTTATAGTCAACTATAGGCTTATTTAGTTATAGTCAACTATAGGCTTATCTAGTTATAGTGAACTACAGGCTTATTTAGTTATAGTCAACTATAGGCTTATTTAGTTATAGTCGATCTACATGCTTATTTAGTTATAGTCAACTACAGGCTTATTTAGTTATAGTCAACTACAGGCTTATTTAGTTATAGTCAACTATAGGCTTATTTAGTTATAGTCGATCTACATGCTTATTTAGTTATAGTCAACTACAGGCCTATTTAGTTATAGTCAACTACAGGCTTATTTAGTTTTCAACGAACTGCAGGCTTATTTAGTTTTTGTCGAACTACATTCTTGTTTAGTTATTATTGAACTGCAGTATAAGAATAAGAATATGTGGTATGTTTGCCAATGAGAAAACTATCCACCAAAGTTCGGCAAATGAAGTGGATGTAAGCAATTAAAGGCAACCGTACGGCGGCTTATATAGTTATTATTGTTTCACAGCAAAACAGTGCGGAGAACATTGTTGACGGCCATACATGGCCTGTAATTGCCTATATTCACTTAATCGGAACTCTGGTGGATAGTTGGCAATCATACCACATCTCCTTTTTTTTATATCTAAAGAAATAGTATTTGGTTTTAATAATATGCATTTTGTTTCCTATTGGTTATGGCTTCAATAAACAAACTACAGAATTAAATCACGATGAGGAAAGAAACAGAAAAAAATAGATAAATAATATATTATATGAATAAACAAAATTGCCAGTGTCTATTAAATACACATTACGTTATATAAAACATGTAACATGTTAAGTAAATAAAAGATTATACATTTATAATTTCAATTATAAGCGGTATAATTGTATTTATCTATAAAGCATTTCTTAAGTAGTTTTATAAAGTTTGATTTCTGTTCAATCTGTTGCGAGACGCTTTACATCATCTTGGTGTATAATTGAAACTGAGAATATACCAAGCGAAGTGCTGTAAAAACGTAAATAATGTTTGCAACAATAGGTCAACGTAAGGTCTTCGACATTGAGGAAAACCCATACCATATAGCAAGCTGTAAAAGACCCAGAATTGATAACAAAAACAATTCAAACTAGAAAAATAACAGTCTCATTACCTTTTTAGCTCACCTGTCCTAAAGGGTCAAGTGAGCTTTTCTCATCACTTGGCGTCCGTCGTCGTCTGTTAACATTTACAAAAACTTCTTTAACAAAAATCTTCTCCTCTAAAACTACTTAGCCAAATTTAACCAAACTTGGCCACAATCATTATTGGGGTATTTAGTTTACAAAATGTGTCCGATGACCCCGCCTGCCAACCAAAATGACCGTCATGGCTAAAAATAGAACATAAGGGGTAAAATTCAATTGTGTCTATTATTTTGAAAACCATTATAAATAGAAAAATCTGATAGGGGCAAAAATGTTTAGAATGTTGATCTCTACCAATTATCTATATACATCAAAACTGTCGCTTTAAGTATACCAAAAGAAAAGATAGGGTCGCCGTACGTTTTTTCCTGCAAAAACATAAAATAGCAAAATTTCATGTAGATTCCTTTAGAAAATGTACTATTTTAGAGTTACCTCCCCGTAATTCGCCACTTTTAAAACATTGAAAATCAAGAAAAATAATCTAAGTTTGTAAAAATATTAGTAAATATAAGTTAAAATCTAATAAATTTGTTCATTTAAATGAAAACTCACATTAGTTAATTGCATTCCTGCATCAAATTTTGCTGACTTGATTGAAAATCAGGACCTATTGTGCTCTGCTATTTTACAATCCAAGATGGCGAAAGACACCAATACTACCTTTAATGACAAATTTTACATTTTATTTTCATTTTTGCCTATTATCTTGAAAACTATAATAGATAGAGAAAAACAAATGAAACATGTAAAAATGATCAGCAAGACAAGTTCTACAAATAACTTTTCCATGTTCGAAATCGTCTGACGACTCCATATAAAAGTTATTGCCCTTTAATGACGATTTTTTTTCCATTTTATTTGCGTTTTTGCCTTATATCTTATAAATTATAATAGATAGATAGAAACTTAACTAGGCAATAATGATCAGCAAGACAAGATCTACAATTAAGACAATTTGAAGGAAATCGTCCGACGACTCCTTATTAGAGTAATTGCCCTTTAAATACGATTTTCACCATTTTATTTTGCGTTTTGCTTCATATGATAAAAATTATAATAGATAAATCGACACTTTAAATCACAAAAATGATCAGCAAGTCAAGATCTACTTACAAGTTTAATTTTGCCGATATAGTTAGTAGACTGTCACTCTTTGTGAATATATTTGATGTGTTTTCCTCAGTTTTAGTTTGTAACCCGGATTTGTTTTTTTCTCAATCGATTTATGAATTTCGAACAGCGGTATACTACTGTTGCCTTTATTTATAGGAGTGATTGCCCTTAAATGAGGAATTTTTTTTTACCTCTGTTGTGTTTTGAGCAAAATCTAAAGAAGATAGAGAGAACCTAAACAGAACAAATGATCAGCAATACAAGATCAACAAAACAGAGATTTTTGTCATGAATTCTATTCTCGTCTACAATGTTGGAGAGTGTCCTTTGTTGAATATGCACATAGACAAAGGTGAGCGATAAAGGCTCTTTCGAGCCTCTAGTTTAATGTGTGTACTTATTATAACTCAAGCAAATAACTCAACCCATAAAGACGTTTTAAATTTAAATATCCCAGCAGTCGACTCTCGACTCTCTCGACTCTTAATTGTAAACTGTTAACACTCATCATAAATCTACGGATAAATTTGGCATCGGGAATTTACAGTCCTCATTGGTGAGAAAAGATCACATTCGGGAAAAAAAGTGTTCCAATTTCGATTTCACGATTTTCATAAAGGCTGTTCACAGGGAAATTTCACTCACGTGAATTTCACGTGAATTTAGATTCATGTGAATTTAGATTCATGTGAATCTCACCTCAAACGAGCTTATACGTGAAACTCGTGAACTGATTTCATATGAATCTCATGTGCAACTCATGTTAATTTCACGTGAAAATTTAATTTAAAATCATGAAAAATACCATTATTTTTTGTAAACAGATATAAGAAGATGTGGTATTAGTGCCAATGAGACAACTCTCCATCTAAGTCACAATTTGTAAAATTAACCATTATAGGTCAAAGTACGGCCTTCAACACGGAGCCTTGGCTCACATAGAACAGCAAGCGATAAAGGGCCCAAAGATGACTTGTGGAAAACCATTCAAACAGGAAAACCAACCGTCTAATCTATATATAAAATGAGAAACGAGAAACACTTATGAACCACGTCAACAAACGACAACCACTGAACATCAGATTCCTGACCTACGACAGGTTCAAACAAATGCAGCGTGTTTAAACGTGTTGATAGGCGCCAACATTCACC